AGGGTTAAAGATTTTAAAATACACAGAAACGAGATAATGATTTAAGAACGGTAAAAAGTAAGTTAGCAACAGGTAATTTATCGGAACTAATAAAAAGTATTAAAAAAGTAAAAAAAAAAAGCCGTTTAAAAAGTTGTTACAGAGTACCGTCGTTCCATTAATGAAACTGTACAAAAAAAAACAATAAAAAAAAAAACGGTACCATAATTAAAGTTAAATTTAAAAAAAAAAATATTTAAAAAGGAGCAGATGAACAAACAAGAAGTTGACCAGGATAGCCCAAGAAAACCAATTACATAGGTTTATTTCCCTTGGGGTATATATAATAGACAAGGTTTCATTCATCCACCGATTGTTTTTATCTTGGTTATCAACAGCTGTTTTATATTGCATATTCCGGGGCACTCAACCTGAGGCCGAGGAAGGTGTGAACTCTCAAGCAAGTGGCCGTTCCTAAACTTTCCACCTATATTTTGTAGAAGAATTTACACCACCGCTGCCACAAGCTAAAGTGTAGCACCACAATCTAAATGAAATTTGACAAATACAGATGGATAAAAAAATGTTCCTTAACCCAAACTCTCATTTGAGTATTTTTTATTTGAGGAACTGGCAGGAGGTAGGTGTGAACTCATAGGCAAGAAGCCGTCAGCACTACAAAGGTCTTTGAATCTGGTATGAAGAGATGAGAATCTCGTATGAAGAGATGCATACTGACTGCCTTCAGTGTTTTGTAAAACTTCTTGTAGCTACTATTATCTGCATAAAGCTGAGTCTTGCTCAGCTGCGAGGTTTATCCACCAATTGTCTTCGATTTCTTGTAGTTTACACCAAATATTTGCTGTTGGTAATATAAAGGGTTGTTTTTTTTTTTTCATAGCCTGAGTAAGATATATCTCTTGTGACCGGATCCTTTTCCCCTGCACATCTTGGAACTACTTGTCATTTTCTTCAAACCAGTCTTGGATTTTCCTTGGGTAGAACACTTGGACTTTTCTAAGGTCTGGCGGATAGCAGGTTTCAGGTGTGACAAGGCAATTCTTGACATGGGTCTGTAGTGTAACTTGCATCCTAAAGCTTTGATTGAAGTTTCACCTGGATGTCAGCTTTCATTGCAAATGATTGAAAGTTGCCAACCTGAAACTACAACCTTTCAGTGTTTCGAGGATGTTGACCTTGCCATCTGTGGGGGTGTTATGTACGAGGCTGATCAGATCAGTGTAAAACTTGCCCTTAGCGTCAGCTTAAACGGTCGGGGCATAAATGCTGACGAAAGTAACATGATGCTTTCTTTCTCAAATGCAGCCTTTTATTCGCTAAGAGCAATGTAAATATTACGAAATTGTGACCCAGTTCATGTACAAAAAAAATACAGTCACATTCTGGACGTTAATATCTAATGTATCAAGGATAGTTATTCCTGAATGCAAGCTTTAGATTTTGTACTCCATTTGAGGCTTGCATCTGCCTTTCTGTAAGTGCTCGATGACCTGTTGGCAGCAGTCAGCAACTGGAAAAATGGAAAAGAGCTTTGGTGAGGCCTCCTTTTCTACGCCACTCTCAATGTGGAGCAAGCAGTGCTGTGTAAAGATGGATGCAGTCACTCCCATGCCCAGAATCAAGCAGCCAATATCCCGAATTGCCTACGTGTAGGATCAAAACAACGGCTTCCAGTGACATCTTCAACCTGACAACTTTCCACCCTTTCATTTCTAATTGGCCCCTTTCTCATTGACGCAACATTTGAGGGGAAGAGGGATGCGAACACGTTCTTGACGCCTGCAAAATAGTGCTTTAAAGTAGAGTACAGTGTGTGCAGTACCCACCTTTTCCTCCCCAGGTTTATTTGTGTATATATATATATATATATATATATATATATATATATATATATATATTGAAGAGTGGGTTTGCACGTATGCTCCAGGTAAAATAAAATG